AAGGGTATTGGTCGACTACTAACACATAGATATGAGATATATGATATGTTTTGAGACTCGCTCTATATCTATAAACTCTAATGGTTAACTTAGGGGATTTCTATAGTTAACCACACACTAAACATGTGTTAGTGTGTTCTAAATACTATGTGCGTGAATGTGTTGTAAGTGAGCAAGGCTTGTACAAAAGTTCTAAGTAAAGAAAATGTAAAATCATAAATTTACGAAGCACATCTTCTTCTTTGCTTGACTTGTTGTCTTGAACTCATCATGCACGTAGTTCATATAGTTCATATATCTTGAGCATATCGGAAGTTGTTTATCTACATTGATATGTTAGTGCATATATAATACACATAGTAAATAAATTGTTATCATTAAAATTATATCTTGGGGACAAGATATCCAACATTACATGCCATATTTATGCATCAATGGCAAGACAACATGATGGTTATGATAGTGCTGGTTGTTTAGAGAAGGACATTAGAAATCAGGTTGATAAAAAGAGAAATGTTTATCACTATAATTGGGAGATGTCAATACAATGATTAAGCTTTTTATGCACATGAGAGAAAGAGATCCTAATTTCTTTTATGTTGTAGATTAGGATGAACATCATCATCTAAGAAATGTCTTTTGAGTTCATGGAGATGGAAGGAGAGATTATAAAATCTTTAACGATATTGTTTCTTTTGATACAATAGACATCACCGATCAATTATGTATGCCTTTTGCTCCTTTCATTGGAGTGTATAATCATTTACAATCAATCATTTTGGGATGTGCTTTACTTACAAATGAGTCAACCTCAACATTTTGTTAATGAGAACTTGGTTAATTGCTATGCATGGAAAACCTCCAAATGCAATCCTAACATATCATAAAAGCGTGATGAAAACTGCTATTAGACTTGTATTTCTAAATGCTAAACACCATTTTTGTTTATGCCATATTATGAGAACGCTACCCGAAAAACTCTCCCATGTGATAAACAAACATGAGAAGCCTCTTGAGACATTTCAAAGATACATTTATAAGTCATGGATGAAGGAACAATTTGAAGAAAGGTGGCTCTCCAATGTAGAAAAGTTTGAGCTAGTTGAGGATTCATGGCTTCAATCCTTGTGTGAAGAAAGGGAGCATTGGGTGCCTACATATATGAGAGATCTTTTTGCAGGTATGTCAAGTACTAACAAATCATTATCATCATTTTTTTTTCTTTTGTTGGATAAATAAATAAGTGAAGAGTCAATTGTATCAAATAAAAATAGAGGAGAGCTTGGATTTCTCCATAATGATTTTATTCTTAAAGTATGTAGTGTACACTAATAGTACATCAGTGACATTAACTAGCTCATGTTACTTATGTGTTCCCTCAAAGTCAAAATAATGGATTTTAAAATCAAAATTTTAACAGTAAAA